GTGGGAAATTTGTGACTTTGTTGGTTAGGTGTCACTGTTGCAGCTGTACTGAAACTGCATGGCTAGGGATACAGCAAGATCTGGATAACATGTCTTCAAAACTAAAGCCAGAATTTTGTCAGGGCCCATGGCATTTACAGCATCCAGTGCTGGCAGTACATTCTCACAGTTGGTGGTGCTTATTACACTCAGTCAAGTGTTAACTCTTTCAGAACCATATACAACACCCACCAACATGAAACTTCCAAAATCCCAACCACTGCACAGCGTTATCCTGTTGAATTTCCTCTCTCTATAAGTGCAATATGCTTTTGAATACAGTCCAGAACTTCCTTTTAAAGAGTGCAAATAGTTTTCAGCTACATACATTGCATTGGTAACTAATAAACCAGATCATCAGCCACCAGAGAATCTGTCCAATCAGTTATATAACTAGCGTTATAAACAGATTGTCTAAAAGAAATAGGGTTTTGCCAAAAAAAAGTGTGCTGTCTTACAAATTTATACTACTCTGCACATATTCTATATGCAACTGTGTGATGTTTTATGATTGAACAAAAATGAAGAGCAAAATGGCAAAGCGCAGTGAATGTATTCAATAAATAGCCACAAGTGTGCTAACTTGGTGATAGGTTTCATTTTTTTCCCCAAAAGGAATCATTTTAATCTATTTATCCAATATTGCGGGCACATAAAGGAAACATTGGGATATACTGTCATTAATAGCAGCTTAGGACTGGTGAATCCAATACCCTATTGATCGTTTGTAATTCTGTAAACTTAAAATAGATTCTGGAACAGTTAGATTTTCTTCTGTACAAAGATGCTGGAAATGTTGCTGATGACTTCCATTACTTTCAAAGATAGGTTGTTCAATACTGTTCTTACAGAGAGAAAATCCCTTTCAGACAATATTTTACACAAATTATCTTATAGAACTCTCTTGACACAACAGTCTTTCTAAGTCCATAAAATGAGCTGTGATATTGTCTGCAATGTAACATTGTGAATCTGATGTAGTCAATTCAAGGTTTACCCTGTTGAATTTCAGGTAACTTCAGGTAAAACTTTAGATAAGCTCCTGGAAAAGCTCTCACTAATTATATCCTCATTTCCAGAAATGCCTTCTACAAATTCTGTACCTTCACAGAGTCAAAGTTTCCACTTTGTGTGCATTTGGGATATTTTACCCAAGAAGCATTTAAAACTGTGCTTGACACATTTATCGTTCAAATTTCTAATAAAAATCACCTGAATAACTATAAATACAATATCTTCCATATTTTCTAAGAACCAGCTCAATTAGATAAAATAGTAGAACATGAGTGATTATTTTATTAAATATTTTTTAATTTTGCTGAAAGAAGGCACATTTTGTCAAAGCTTTTCATCTTGCACTCATCAGGATAGTGCATCTTGATATTGACTATGATCTTAAACTGATCTTCTAAAAGCTGAAAAAAATTTTGTTAGGACCTTTGCAGTCATCATCAGAAATATCGGAAGATTTTATTCTTCTTAACCCCTCAGAGCCCGAAACATGTAGAGCTTCAACAGTCTATCACTCTTTGACAGTTGTCTGCTGATCGATTAAAATTAAGATTGATTTTTTCTTTCAGTAATTGAAATTCAGACGGAACAAAGAATAAGAACAAAGAACAATTCAGCACAGGATAGGCCCTTCGGCCCTCCATGCCTGTGCCGCCACATTTTGCCCTTCCATACTAAAACAGGATCCGTATCGCTCTATTCCATTCCTATTCATGCACTTGTCCAGGTGCATCTTGAATGATGCTATTGTGTCTGCTTCCACCACCTCCTCTGGCAATGCGTTCCAGGCTCTCATCATTCTTTGTGTGAAAAACGCGCCTTGTACATCTCTTTTAAATTTCCCACCTCACACTTTGAACCTGTGTCCCCTAGTAATTGACCCCTCCACCATGGGAAAAAGCCTCATACTTTCCACTCTATCCATACTATTCACAATCTTATAAACTTCTATTAGGTCACCTCTTAACCCACTGTGTTCCAGTGAAAACAAACCCAGTCTATCCAACCTTTCTTCATAGCTAAAATCCCCCATACCAGGCAAAATCCTGGTAAACCTTTTATGTACCCTCTCCAAAGCATCCACATCTTGCTGGTAGTGTGGTGAATACAACTGTATGCAATGTCCAAGTTATGGCAATCCATGGTTGGATGGTTGCTTTCCATCTATCTTTTTCAGCTTGCGCACTCTAAATGCCAGACTAAGAATTGGCATCACAGTACAGTGTTTTATCAAATTTATATATTTGTTAACTTTAAAAATGACTCACATTTATTGTTGTGGTTTTAAAATTAGCTGTTAGTTTAGCTCATTCTTGCTGTGCCTTTAAAAGTTGTAGGCTGTTGGTAGCAGCTTTTTGCATGTACGTGGCATTTGTGTGGAGAAAGAAATGATGCCATCATGTGGGATGTCCTTTTAGAAAAGAAAATGATGAAATTGCCCAATGTTTGGATGCAAGTAAGGCCTCTTTATTGTATAGATCTTTGTTTGAATGCTTTTTAATCATAATTTTGATCCAGGAGTCCTTATTTAGGTCAGAGTTAACCTTCAGCATTTCTAAACTCCTGCATTATATTTTCTAATCTAGATCGGCAACAACTTTTCCTGTTTGTGTTTTTAAAGAGAGGGGTAGAGTTTTCACAGTGCTTCTATACAGTTTTGTAGCATTTACTTTTCATTGTAGCACTTCAATCTTGATTGTTAACTTTAGCTCTGAAATCAGGTAGGTGATAGGGAATGATGATTGTTAGAAGAAAGGTTTTTCACAACTACTTGCTGCTTTCACCTTTTCAGCATTTAGCATACACTTACTGCTACTGACTAGCTGTCATGACTTGCTTTCAGTAGCTTTTAGTGCCCACTTGCTGTCACCATGATACAGTTTGTGATTTACTATATGTTAGTCCACATAACATAGATCACAAATAGTTGATATCTTTGTACAGTAGAAAATCTAACTGCTTCAGAATCTATTTTAAGTTAACAGAATTACAAACGATCAGTAGGGTATTGGATTCATCAGTCTTAAACTACTATTAATGACAGCATATCCCAATGTTTCCTTCATGTGCCCACAATATTGGATAAATAGGTTAAAGTGATTCCTTTTGAAAATGAAATGAAACCTACGAACATGTTAGCACACTTGTGGCTATTTATTGAACACATTCACTGCACTTTGCCATTTTTCTCTTCATTTAAGTTCAATCATAAAACATCGTACAGTTGTATATAGAATATGTGCAGAGTAGTATAAATTTGTAAGACAACACAATGTTTTTTGGCAAAACCCTATTTCTTTTAGACAATCTCTTTATAACGCTAGTTATATAACTGATTGGACAGATTCTCTGGTGGCTGATGATCTGGTTTATTAGTTACCAATGCAATGTATGTAGCTGAAAACTATTTGCACTCTTTAAAAGGAAGCTCTAGACTGTATTCAAAAGCATATTGCACTTATAGAGAGAGGAAATTCAACAGGATAACGCTGTGCAGTGGTTGGGATTTTGGAAGTTTCATATTGGTGGGTGTTGTATATGGTTCTGAAAGAGTTAACACTTGGCTGAGTGTAATAAGCACCACCAACTGTGAAAATGTACTGCCAGCACTGGATGCTGTAAAGGCCATGGGCCCTGACAAAATTCTGGCTTTAGTTTTGAAGACATGTTATCCAGATCTTGCTGTATCCCTAGCCATGCAGTTTCAGTACAGCTGCAACAGTGACACCTAACCAACAAAGTCGCAAATTTCCCACTTATGTCCCATTTACAAAAAAAGGACAAACTCAACCTGGCCAATTACCATCCCATCAGTTTACGGTCCCGAACCGAAACATCAACTTTTCGGCTCCTCTGATGCTGCCTGGCCTGCTGTGTTCATTCAGCTCCACACTGTGTTATCTCTGACTCCAGCATCTGCAGTTCTTACTATCTCACAAATAGTTGATTCCTTGTTGGCACAGATACCCTGAAGTTTATTTACAACACCAACTATTTACAAGGTTACACCATCACAGACGCACATAAAGGTCTGTGTTCTGCGCTTATTGATATTATTGTGACTGTACATTACACACGTAACTGACTAACTATACAGCCTCCATTACAGAGACAGAGAGAGAGAGGGTGACCGGGAGAGACACTGAAGACAAGGTGAGTACCTTTATATCAGAATGTTGTATTTCATGTCTCTAAGATACAGTGCCTGAGTAGTCTGGAATCTTTGCAATTAAACCACAGTAAGTAGATAACCTTTTGTCTCATCTGTGTCAGAAATAGGAATTTTGCCAAAGATCAGAAGATCTGGGTCATAATATGTCTGGGAAAGTAGTAAGTCTTTATTTTTTAGCTCCTAAGGTATATCTACTGATACACATAACTTATTACATATGACTTATCATATACGTTGGGAATTATGCTATCAGTGTTGAAATGGTACAAACTATTTTCTTTCTCTTTTTCCTCAAGAGGATATTTTTCATGAATAAAATACATCTTCATAATTGGAGAGGAGAGAATAATATGACTGTCTAATAATCTCTGGCTGTGGTAAAAGAAACCTATAACAGTTATTTACTGAACACACTGTTATTTACTAAACATTCAGAGCAGAACAAATCTCAAACATCTTATTATGACCTAATGCAGAAATTGCTATGACCCCCAATATTTGGACTTTGGTTACTGAGATTTAGAAACAAACATTCCAAGATGAAACATGATCATATTATGCAAATGTTGCATTGCGAGATATTTGGTCCAACTAGTACAGTCTGTCTGACTGCTTCAGCTTTCTCACACTCTCCTGAGAATCCCTAGCACAGAGTTTAGGCACCAGACTTAGTAACAATATTAAAATCACCTTTTGAAGCTTTAAGAAAAGCTGTAGAAAATGTTTTGAACTCTCCTCAAACTCCAAAATCAACTTTAACAGCAAACAACAGCACTACCTGGGAAGCAGACTTTCTCGGGACCAGTCCCTGGGAGGACACCCTTGACGAGCAGGTGGGTGACATTGTACCACTTGAGGACGTTGATCCTTTGCTGCTGTCCATGAACCATGAGAAAGGCACAAACTGTGGCACTGCAGACTTGGCAGAGGCCAAGATACTGATTGGACTTTCAAAAGACTCCCTACAAGCAGGAATGCATGAGAGTCAGGATAAAGACTTTTATCAAAGCGTAACGGACAATACAATAGCAATTTCTTTCTTGTCAGTTTAAAATGTTTGAAAATGATGAATAATCAATTCCAAAGGCACTTCCATAGTCCTCCGAAAAACTCATAATGGAAATACCACTCTGTGTATAGGCCTCAGTGCAACATGGATGCATATAGTGAGATTGTAGATTACATATAGCAGATATGCCCCTGTTAAATGCTGAAAGTACTGTAACCTTTATTAATTGCTTGCTCTACCTGGCACATCTCCTTCAATGACGTGTCATGTACACATTCAGGTCCCCCTGCTCCCAGATCCTTTTACAATTCTATCCCTTATTTTATCTTGTTTTTTCGTGTTCTTCCTACCAAAATGCCTCATCTCACACTTCTCTGCATTGAACTTCATCAACCACTGATCCACCCACTTCACCAACTTGGTAATGGATTTTGAAATACTACATTGTCCTTAGAATTTATAATGCTTCCAAGTTTTGTATCATCTGCAAAATTTAACATTTTCCCTGTACACTAAGATCCTGATCATTAATATATATTAGAAAAATGAACAGTCCCAATGTATCGACCAGTGGAGAACTACAAACCTTTCTCTGGCCTGAAAAATACTCACTGACGATTACTCTCTGAATCATATCAATCAGAGAATTTTACATCCATGTTGCTAATTCTATTTTATTCCATAAGTTATAACTTTTCTCACAAGTCTGTAGTGTGGCCCAGGAACAAATGACTTCTGGAAGTCCATGTACACCACATCAATATTTCCCTCATTGACCCTTTCTGTTACCTCTTCAAAAACATCCAACAAGTTCAATATGATTTCTCCTTTAGATATTTGTGTTAGTTCTTCCTAAATAACCCATGATCCCCCCCCCCCATGTAACTACTAATTCTAGCTCAAATAATTGTTTTTAAAAGCTTTCCCACCACTGAAGTTAAACTGATCAGTTTGCAATTGCTGGGCTTATCCTTGTAAAATTTGTTTGAACAGGAGTATGACATTTGTGATTTTTCAGACTTCTCAAACCTCCCTTGAAACCTGGGAAAACAGAACAGTTATGGCCAGTGTCCTTTTAATTTCCACGCTCTCTTCCATCAATGTACTTGGATATAACCCATCCTGTCCCAGTGCCTTGTCAACTTTAAATCCCAACATCCTTCTAGCACTTCTTCCTTAACAATTCTGAACCCCTCCATTGACAAATATTCCTCTCTGCTACCATGGCTTGGGTAGCATCTACCTCTTTGGCAAACACAGACATAAAGTAGTTGTTTAATGCCTTAGCCATGCCACCTGCCTCCAGCTGCAAATCCCCTTTTTGGTCCCAAAACTTACACCTTTTTCAATTCTTTTACTATATATATGCCTATAGGAGACTTCATGTTGGCGGCTACTCTTTTCTCATTATTCCTCTTTGTATTTCTAATATACCTTTTCACTCCTTCCCACCCCAAAGCTTCCAATTTCCTCTTTGTTCTCAATTGTATTTTTGAGATTGACACCTGTCATAAGCACACTGTCTTTCCTTTGTCTTAATTTCTATCTGCTTTGTCATCCAAGATGCTCTAGATTTGTTTGTCCTACCTTTACCTTGTCAGAGAATACACCTTGACCTTCCCAGAACCATCTCCTCTGTGAATGTAGCCTATTGCTCAGTTTTTCATTCCGATCATTCCGATCTGTCCTACCCATCTCCTTTCTTCCTCCATTGAAATTGACTCTCTCCCAATTGTTTTGTTCTTACTCTGGATTGACCACTGTTGTTCTCCACCATCATCCCAAACCTTACAATACAATGATCATTGTCACCTAAATATTCTTGCACTGTAATTTGATCAACTTGGCCCACCTCATTTCCAGGTCCATCAGTGCATCCTTTCTTTATTGAATTGGGACCAAACTGCTGCAGGAAATTCTCCTGAACACAATCTAGGATCAATATCAGCATCCTACCATAAATTTGGGTTATTAAAGTCCCCATTATAACTATTCTGTGAAATTGACATATCTCTGTAATTTCCTGCAGATTTGTTCCTCTACATCTTCACTAGTAGTTGGCAATCTATTTAAGAAAAAAGGTAAAGTTGCCACAATCTTACCAGACCATAGGGCTGCTCTCGCATTTGAGAGAGATGACTGGTTTAACTTGACAGTCACCATGTCTCAGGGAAGGGGAGAGATTGAGAAGGAGAGTCCTTCATAGTGACCTCAACCAGTGAAGGAAATGAACCCATGCTACTGGCACCACTCTGCATCACAAACCATCTACCGAGCCAGCTGAGCTAACCAACCCCCATGATAGTCTATAGACTACACCGAGCAATGTAATTGCACCTTGTTGTTCCTTAGCTTGAGTCAAATTGATTCTGACCTTGAACTCTCTTTCTCTAGCATTATGATGTTCTCCTTAACCAACATGGTGATCCTTCCTTCCTCTTTCTGTCTTTTCTGAACAGACTGCACCCAGCATTTTCTGTTTTTGTTTCAGACTTCCAGCATCCACAAAATTCCATGAAGAAAATGGAGTTAGCGGCAGATCAGCCATGATGCAATTGCATGGCAGAGTGAGTTGAGGGGCTAAGTGGCCTCCTCCTGTTCCTATTATTGCTGTGTTATTGCTAGAGAAGAAATATTGGAAACAGAGAAGATAAGCTTATAGCAAAGATGAACGTATTAAGGGGAGTGCCATACTGAATGCATTAAGATTTACTTTAGAAAGTTTACAGATATTTAAATGTTAAAATGAAAGGAGTGTGGTAGCTTCAGTGCATTTGTGGATTTCAATACCATTTCATTGAGGATCCCATCCCAGAAACAACGCATTAGCTTGCAAATCAATACATTTAGAATCCACTCCAATAATCTTTATGAGCCATGCATTCTGCATTCACAAGGCAAAGCTGTCATATAATCATATCTATCTATATGCTTAGAAACCCTGAAAATTCAAAGATAGGCAAAAAATTACTTGATTGAATTTAACAATTTTAAACCATCACCTTTTATTGTTTCATAGCTGTGAATCGAAATGAAACCTTAAAGCTGACTTCCAATAAAGACTTCCATCTAAACATTAGCCCTTTCCAATCACTTTTAGATGTTGTTTCTTTTGCACTGCAATTTCAAAAATATCTATTTTTAACACTTTGAACCATGAGGCTAGAAATGACTGCTGGTAATGGATAAGCCTGAATAGGTTAACTTCACATCCTCCTGTCTAGTTCTTGAATAGAGGTGTCACTTTATTTCAGGTTGTCAATCAAGCAAATTCGTTGGTGGATAGGATGGGGGAATGTTAAAAATCAATCCAATTGGTTTGACTTTGAATGTCCCCCATGCTATCCACCAACAGATTTGGTTGACTGGCAGTCTAAAATCACAGCAGGAAAGTAAGCTGCTACGTTTGTTGAATGATCAATGAATTGGCACAGTTTCAAACACTGGTTGATCTATTTATTTGATGATATTTCATCTTTTTGACAGAAATAGTTTCAATTCACCTTGTTGCCTCCAGTAATATTATTTAGTTCTTCAAATTATTCTTCCCTTTGATGAATTAATTCTTTTTTATTATTAATTCTGTTTAATATTAATCTGGTGGCAGAATGCAACATAATGCTGTATATCTTGGATTTCAACAGATTTTCACTTTTGTTCTGTTATGCTGTACAATAGAATAATTAAGAACTTGAAACTTTACAAATAAGATATTCTACACAAGGAAGAAGCAAGTATAATGGTGTCATTTACCCTGGAGATTGAGCTGTTCACATTTATGGAGCTTAAGACAGATATGTGGGATTGTAATTCCTGAAGACATTACCAGGAATTGCAATTTCTCTTTCCAGATTCTGATAGAGTTGCACTTCATTTTCAACATTTTTGTTCTTAATTCACAGCATCACATGCAAGATTTTTTACCCAACTTTAAATATACTCTATTTACCAGAAATGCACGGTAAATGGAAAACTTGAAAGGATGAATGCTTTTTCAGTATATGAGATTGAAATGCTGATTCTCTCATTCCTTTTACGTTTGTAGCATGTAAACATTAGGAACATGACAATGAAGACGTCTATTCTGCATTAGGTTCCCATTCTGCTGTTAGTAAGATAGGATTGCCAAACCTATAATTTTGCTTATGTTCAAACTTCAATTGAAGATTAATCTCCAAACTAATTCTGTGAGCTACCTAGGACAAATATCATTGAAGCAATGTGTGCTTTTCTTTTACATTTTCTTTTCGTTCTTTTGCTTATTTCATATATAGGGAGGGGACTAAGGCAAACTGACAATCAAGGATCACTTAATTGGCTATAGAGTTTGTTTCCCACTGATATGGGAAGGTGGGTTGATCTAAGGATTCACACATCGATTGATCAATGATGGGAGTGAAGAACAGGACAGTTGGATGTTAAAGTTCATGGAGTGAAACTACCCCAAGCAAGGATCTTGTGTCATTCTGTGACCTTGACATTCCTTATATGTCAGAAACTATCACAGTTCATGAAATAAAAGTTTGATTTTACCTGCTACCAGTAGACAGTCTGTTAGCTGTCTTCTCTGCTTTCCTTCCTTTTGAGGAGGAGGCTCTTCTTAACTGTACCCTGTAAATGGTGCAATTATTTATTACAAGACCAAAGCATCGTCATTTTATTCTCTCAAAGTCTATTAGTGATTTTTTTTTTTACAAACTATTAGAAATATCGCTTCCATTTGATTGAGTTTGATTTTTCCAAAAGTATGGGATCATGGAAATGCACAGCACAGATGGATATCACTCAGTTCATTCTACATATGCTGGCTGTTCCAAAGTGAGATTTAATTTACCCATTTACATGCTCTTTCCTCATAGCCCTTCAAGTATTTCCTTCATGTATATACACAATTCTTTTCAAAGTTCCTCTTGAATTTGATTTCACCAACGTTTCAGACTGTAAATTCCAGATCATGCCAACTTGCAACCTAATTGCCACCTCTTTTTGCAATCGTGTTAATTCTGATTTCTGATCTTTTGGCCAATGGATCCAGTTGTTCCTTATTTATCCTTCTAAAACTGTTCCTCATTTTGAGCATCTCTATCAATCACCTGTTAACTGATTCTGCTTGAAAGTGAACAACTGCAGCTTCTCTGATCTTTCCAAATAGGAAGCCTCTTGTCCTGGTCCAATATGTAAATCCTTCTACACACATTTTAAGATCTTGATGTCCTTACTGAACTGCAGTAGCCAGAATTGAACATAGTACTGCAGCTCAGGCCCAACCAATGTTAATAAAGATTTTGCAGAACTTCCTTATTTTTAAACTCTGATGGATTCTGCCGTTGTTTTGATTATAGACTGACAATCAACAATCAAGCAATTAGCTAGAATCTCTAGCAGTTTACTGTCTATACCAATATTTGGTTTTAAATCCTATTTTCACAATGTGACAGATGGATTGTATGTATTTACAGTCTAGGTTGATGCTGTCTCATCTGTGGCATTGGATAAAACCTCTACCAATAAAGCCAAAAATCCCATTTTGTTGTAAAAAAGGCTCACCCAAGGCTCACCTATTTTAGATGTTGATTAAACAAATTGATAAAAGACTTTTAAAAGAAGAAAACAATTGAATGCTGGCTGTGAAATTCTTGCAGGTGTGAAAGGTACTATGTAAATATAAGTCATTTCTTTCCTTTTGGAGTCTTAACTTGTGTTGGACAGAATCTTGTGCCACTCACAGCTGCCTTGGCCAATGGCTGGACAGCCAGTGAGACCTCCATGATGCTTCTTTCTGGGAAGATCTGCCAGTATATGCCAAGCAGGCAGCTGATGGGCTACCACAGGGCCTTTTTCCAAGATCAAGACCCCAGAGGCAGAAGGCTTGAGATTTGTCAGTCATAGGTTTGAACATCAGGGCCAACAGAGCACAGTAGCTGGTTAAGAATGATAAGACCTAGGCCAGAGGTGAGTGATGTCAGGAGGAGGTTCACAGGGTAGTGGGTAGGCCTGCCCAATTCTGGCACAAATCCAGCTGCAGCCCACATTGCTCAGACCCTTACAAGTATATAGATAGTGGAAGATTCAGTAAATAGATTGTCAAAAATCTACATTTCCTGTCAGGACAATAACCGTCAAGTAATGCTGAAAAGTAAATTCCATCGGTGATTGACTTTTCGAATTGCTACCACAGCACTGTGATGCTACGAATAAATGTCGCTGATCCATGTGATTGTTAAAGAGTAGCATCTGACCCAAGCCCTGACATTGAGGCTTCCTGTCATGTAATATTGAGCTGATTATAGTTAACAGGCACGAATGCAAATCCGAAGCACCTTGTGTTTCAAAGCTAATGTGGTTAGTAAAATCAATAAAATCCAAGTAAACAGTGTGTATTTGGGAAAGCAGCGAATGTGTGCAAAATTAATTCAGGGCATTCATCTCCAGTTGAAGACAAGTCTCAGCAAAAATCACTTATTCAAGAAGAACTAAGAATTGTTTTAAGGTGTTGTATCAGGCCTTGAAATGTAAGTCAGAAACCTGGACGACAGCAAAAAGAGCGGAACATGCAGTGGATATGAATAAGTTGCAGCTGCTAAAATGAGTATGCACAGAGTGAAGAAGAGGATCAAATTCATGACCGAGTATATCAGGGGCTCCATGCAGATTGTGGGAGCCCTGAATAAAGTAACTAAGGGCCGATTCAAATTGCGTGGTAATCGGCTGTGGAGAGAGCAAGAGAGAAATGTGGTGAGGTTACTGATGGAGATGGGACAGGAAGACAAATGTCTAAATGCCAGATGGAAAGATATGACAGCCTGTGAATTAAACAAATTGGGATTGGAAAAAGAGTTACTGGCTGATAGGAGAAGATGGACGAGATTGATCAAAAAGCATTCTTGTGACCCAAAGCAAAGTGGGAGAAGCAGAAATAAGGAATATTGCCCTTTAATGGTTTGGTTTTTGTAGACAACATTTGGAACTACCACTGGTCTGTTCTTCAATCTTGGTTGAAAATAAATTAAGCAGCTTAAATTGAAATTAAAATAATAAGGTTATATTATAACATGATTATATTGTAACATAGCAGTTAACATAGGTATGTTAACAGGGCTGCATTTTGGAAATTAATTACAGATGGAGTGGAAACTGGAATGCAGATTCACTCCTGTTTACTTAAACTCTACCACCAAGAAGAAATTTCTTCTCTAAATCTTTAACTGTACTATTTCATTCTTGATCAGCAACATTAAGAATGCCTCTGTATGGTCTGATGGTATCTATTGTCTTGTGAATAGATTGGTTTGCCATTTTCCATTTCAACTCCTTGCCCAATATTGAAGCATCATTAAACTGCATTCTGGTTAAGTGGTTCATTAATTGCTTCAGGAGTAATGAAGGGTCATTATTTAGGCATTAAAAAATATTGAAAAATACTTTTTTGATTAAACTTACTAAATTGGAAAGTCCGTCAATAAAAAGTCTTGCCTTCTGACTAGAATATGTATGTGAAACAAGACAGAAAAATGTTTCAGACCATAAA